ACTCGCCTCATTATTCACTTGTGCATCATTATATATTCCTTGTGCTTCTTCCACTCCAGGCCCAGCACAATTGTCTGGTTCCACATCTGGCTGCTGTGACTCCTCAAGCACCAGGTCCACTGGATCCTCCTCAGACCATCTGGTTTCTTCCACAAGCACACATTCTGCATCTAATAAAGGCATTTCTTCTACCAACACGGAGGTAGGTACTTCTTCTATAGGTCTCACTTTTCTCCGTGGCATTGGGACTGGTCTCGGACAGGGCCTAATGTCGGATCCATGTACTCTTTTTGCAGGACCGCCTCTCACTGGCTCCACAGTGTAGGTCGTACCATGCACCTCCACCACCTTATAGGCTGTGGGTGCCCAGGCGTCCTGTATCTTGTTCCTTCCTGGGGGACAATATCGTAAGAACACATGCTGACCAACTGCAACCTCTGGACAGTATTCCCCACTCTCACGCTTGGCAACTCGGTCTGCTGCCTTCCTTTCAGCACACTCACGTGCCCGGGTATGAGCATCCCGAAGCCGCTCCTTATGGACAGACAACCAGGCAGGCTCCTTCTCTTGCACTGGCTCCTGGCCCAACAACGCATCTACTGGTAAATGTGGCTGCATACCAAACAGCATGTAGTAAGGGGAGTAACCAGTGGAGGAATGAGGTGTCACATTATAGGCGTACACCAGCTCAGGTAAGTACTCTGGCCATTTTCGTTTCTTGTCAGGTGGCAAGGAACGCAAGAGGTCATGCAGAGTCCTATTAAATCTCTCGCACTGTGCATTTCCCTGGGGGTGATGTGGCGTAGTGCTGGACTTTCTCACCCCATACAGTTTGCAGAGCGCTGCAATAACGGCACTCTCAAAATTTCTCCCCTGGTCTGAATGAAGACGCTGAGGCACACCGTACTTGAGGAACCATTCCTTCAGAAGGATCTTAGCGGTAGTGTCCGCCTTCTGATTGCGGGTGGGGAATGCCTGGCTGAACTTAGTGAATACATCTGTCACAACCAGGACATTCTCCTGTCCATCCGACGCAGGTTCCAATGTGGTGAAATCCATTGTGACCACTTCCAGTGCATGAGAAGCCAAGAATGGGGTCCAAGGTGCCTGAATCTTTGGCTGCGGCATTTTGGCTAGCACGCACCGCTGACACTCCTTCACCCACTTATCCACAGCTATATACATCCCAACCCAATAACAACGCTGCTTGAGCAGGGCCAGCGTCCTCTCCACGCCTTGATGCCCCATCTGGTCATGAACACTTTACAACACCGTTTCGACCAGACATGTAGGGAGCAGCAACTGTTGGCATTCCCCATTGAACACATCGTCAATCGTTCTGTACATCAGCCCTTCTTTCTCTTGGATCTTGTCCCACTGCTTAAGCAACATCCTCAATGGTCTGGACAAGTGCTTTCTCTCACGATTTGTGGGTTTCCTCTTCTTGTCCAAGAAACTCTTGAGCACACTGATGGTCGGATCTGCATCCTGTAACTGACGAAGCTCATCCTTTGTGTATCCAGGTAATGTTGGGGTATTCTCCATGGGTCCCCCTCCAGTCTCTCCATCCTCTATGGCTGCACGTAACAGTCCTATTTCTCCCTCTCTAGGACTCACCACTAGCCCTGCCAGGTCAACTTCCAGTACAGTCCCTGTACGAAGCCCACTGCAAATAGCCACACAGCCATCGTACTCTGAAGCCTCAGTTACCACCTCCAGTCCTGGTCTTCTAGAGAGAGCGTCAGCTGCAGTGTTACACCGACCAGGGCGGTACTTTGTGTATCCAGGTAATGTTGGGGTATTCTCCATGGGTCCCCCTCCAGTCTCTCCATCCTCTATGGCTGCATGTAACAGTCCTATTTCTCCCTCTCTAGGACTCGCCACTAGCCCTGCCAGGTCAACTTCCAGTGCAGTCCCTGTACGAAGCCCACTGCAAATAGCCACACAGCCATCGTACTCTGAATCCTCAGTTACCACCTCCATCGCCTCCAGTCCTGGTCTTCTAGAGAGAGCGTCAGCTGCCGTGTTACACCGGCCAGGGCGGTACTGGACTTTGAAATCGAATATGGCAAGCTGTGCAGCCCACCTCTGTTCAATGGCACCCAGCTTAGCCGTGTTGAGGTGGCAGAGGGGACTGTTATCTGTTAGAACAGTCAATTTGGATCCTAGCAGGTAACTCCTGAATTTCTCCACCACAGCCCATTTGAGTGCCAGGAGCTCCAGCTTCATACTACTGTAATTCCTGTCATTTCGCTCTGAGCCCCTCAACCTCCGGCTTGCATAGGCTATCACAATCTTACTTCCCTCTTGCTGCTGGTATAGTACAGCACCCAATCCCAGGTTACTGGCGTCGGTCTCCAGCACAAACGGTAGGGTGAAGTCTGCGTAGCCTAGTGTCGGAGCACAGGTAAGCTTCTCCTTGAGGTGCTCAAAGGCTTGCTGGCACTCCACTGTCCAAGAGTCCTTAAACAACTTGTTGGCATGAGCAACACTCCCTTGGTGGACACCAGTGTTTACAACATCATGGAGCGGACCGGCCACCTTAGAGAAGCCCTCAATGAATCTCCGATAGTAACTGCAGAATCCTAAAAAGGATCGCAGTTCCTTTAGAGTGTTAGGAATTGGCCACTGTTTCACTGCACTCACTTTGTCTGGGTCTGTAGCCACCCCTTGAGCAGATATCACATGCCCTAAGAACTTTACCTCGGACTGCAGGAAGTGGCATTTTTCCACCTTAACCTTGAGTCCGGCCTCCCTCAACCTTTGTAACACAGTCTCAAGCCTCACTAAGTGTCCATCGAATGTACTTGAGTACACAAGCAAATCGTCCAAATAGACGAGTACCATTTGAAAGACCAGGTCACTCATTATGGCCTGCATGAGACGTTGGAATGACGCTGGCACATTACATAGGCCAAACGGCATCCGCTGGGACTCATACAGGCCAAATGGTGTAATGAAAGCTGTTTTGTGGCGGTCCTTCTCGTGAACTGCTACCTGGTGATAGCCACTCGCTAGGTCAATAGACGAGAAAATCTTGGCCTTACTCAAAGCATCCAGACTCTCATCTATTCGTGGCAATGGGAATGCATCACGCCTAGTTTTACAGTTCAGCTTCTGGTAGTCCACGCATAGCCTAAGACTCCCGTCAGTCTTCCGGACTAACACCACCAGAGATGCATACGAACTGGAGCCGTCTTGGATGACACGCTTTTTGAGAAGTCTAGAGATATGGTCCTTCACCTCCTGGAATTGGTTTGGTGGTATACGTCGGTATGACTGTGAGACAGGAAGGTCATCATTCAAGGGAATCTCATGCTTTACCAGTTCAGTATAACCGAGGTCTTCATCAGTGATGGCAAACACGTCCAAGTATCCCCTCAGAAGCGCCTTTAGCTCTGCCTGCTGTACAGGGGTACCACCGATCTGCACTTTCTCCAAGTGACACTGCAGGTCACTGCTAACCCCCGTCATTGACCTCTAGTTTACCATAACTTCCTCATGATTTGCAGAGATTCGATGGAATCTAACTTCGCAGGAGCTACTCTCAACACGACGCCCCTGGCCAAGTACCCCTAGTTTCACCTTGGGTGGCAACCACACACCCTCTGGGGACAAGTTTACTACCTGTACTGGGAATACCCACCTACCGGGTGATACCAAGGTGGGAATCAGGACCAAGCCACCTGGCAATGATGCCTTACCTGGCTCAAACAACCTTAAGTTTCTGTTTTCAGCTAGTTCTTTATGTGCTCTGGCCTGAATTGTAGCCACTGAGACTGCAGGTACGTACAACTTACGTGTGCCTGCTTCCCTGACCACAGAGTTCACTCCTACTTGGGCAGCCTCTTGTACTCGGTTAAGGGCGGCTCTCCAGTCAGCATCCAACGTCCCCGCCAAAGCATTGTCAAACTCAGCTAGAATCAATTGTTTACACCGCTGTGCAATGTTCATGCCAAGTATGCCTGGGGGCGCGGAGTCAGTCTCCCCATCATTTTGGTCACGTATCACCAAGAACCCACACCCAGGTATAGTCAACCCCATTACTTGGATATCAAGTTCAACATACCCAAGGTAGGGAAGAGGCAACCCGTTGGCGGCAGTTATCTTTAACCACTTGCTTGTACAATGCAAGTTTGTCTTTGTCTTCCCCATGAAGATGTTTTTTAAAGAAGCTCTCTGTCAAAGTACTCACGTTACTGCCAGTGTCTAACAGGCACTTGATGGCTACCCCCCCCCCCAGCGTTAATTTCCACTTCTGGGCACGTGCCCACTGCACGCTCCAGAAACCGCTCTTTTGTCAATGTGCCAGTCTTTGAGCCATCAGTGCTACCTCTCATTGCTCGGCTCTTCGCAATGAAGGCGCTCAGTTTCCCGGAACCGGAGACTCAGGCGTAGATGGCACAGGGTTTTCCTGGAAGCGCTGCCCAGTGCATTGCCTGGCTATGTGCCCGATGCCCTCACATCTCAAACAAATGGGTTGGCCATCCCGGGTATACCTTGGCTTAAACTTGGGCTTACTAGGTTTCTCACAAGTTGGGTCAGACCTCTGAATCGTGAGATCACGGACAGCATTGGTAAGGTCCCCGATTGTTTTCCCTTCTTGTATAATTACCTTAATTACCTCTTGTAGGGCTACAGTCAAGTCGTTTGGTACAGTGGCGGTCATCCTTGCATGCTCTACACTTTCCTCCACACTCACTAGGTTTCGGTTTCGGGCCACATTAGCTGGACGAGGTCTCTCTTCTGAGCCCCACAAAAGGGCCTCCTCACGATCTTGTAGGGCTACAGTCAAGTCATTTGGTACAGTGGCGGTCATCCTTGCATGCTCTACGCTTTCCTCCACACTCACTAGGTTTCGGTTTCGGGCCACATTAGCTGGACGAGGTCTCTCTTCTGAGCACCACAAAAGGGCCTCCTCACGAACTTCGAATAATGTAGCATGAGGTCGCTCTCTGACCACCTTGCGCAGTTCCCTCCGGAGTGCTGAATCCCTCACCCCTTCTATAAACTGGTCTCTCAAAACCAACTGCACATTTGGAACACAATGTGATGCTTGTTGCAGTGCAGCATTTAACATCAATGACAGTGCATTTGAAAAATCACAAAAATCCTCACCTTCCAATTGTTTTCGGGCATAAAATATGTGCAACAACTGGGAGGTGCTACGCTTTTCCCTGAAAGCTGCCCTCAAATATGAGAACAGGTCTTCAGCTGACTTATCCTCCCCCCCCATACACAACCTGATTTCATCTAGTGCTGAACCCCTTAAGTGGGAGAGGATAAAATCTACCTGATCCTCAGTATTCAACCCCCTCACTCTTATAACCCTCCCCAGTTCCTCAATGAACTCATCAACATTTTGGCAGTCCTTACCTGGATCCCCACTGAAAGGTACAATTTGTTTCTCCCTTGGGATATACACATAGGATCTAGTATGAACATTAGTCATGTTTGCAAGGGCTGACATTACTTCATCATGTCTACGTCTCAACTCCAAGATCTGGGATTGAAGCTGTGAGACAGGGTTACCTTCCTCAATGTCCATTCCACCTGCACCTTGAATGTCTTCCGCCATTGCGGCTGCACCGTCCATGTCCTCAGCATCCATGGCTTTGCCGTAGTCACAGAAAGTCTCAGTTCTCAAACAGTCAGTTCAACAAGCACTGTCCTTCTCGAAGTCCTCACACACAGCAGTCCTGCTACGCTGGCCCTTTGTCCTGCTGCCACTTCTGTCAGGATGGCACTGCAGGTCCTTCCAGCACTACCGTTGTTTGCACCATCGTAACAAATAATCAGCCCCAAACAAAACAGAATCCCACTTCTGACACCAAAATTTGATGTGGCCGGCTTGACGTCCTTTTAATATACTAAGGAAAAAGACAATGCCAAGACATCTAATAAAAAAAGGATTCTTTTATTCCTAACTGAGCCTCAAAGGAAACTCAGCATTAATGTTTTGTTTGGGGAAAAAGGTTTTTTCAGGATTCCGATCCAGTTGAACAAGAGAAGTCGTATAAAACAGAATAACAAAAAGCAAACACCCAATTCACTTCAATGGGCGCAGAACATGAAATAAGGTAGCAGAAGAAATGTAAAGTATAAAAATAAATTCTTTACAGTATTAACCTCTAATCAAAACAGAAGATCAAAAGCCCAATTTGACTTGAAATAATGCAACCAATGTTAAAGAGCCAATAAAGGTGTGCAAAACAACGGCAGTGGCCTATATGTGCGCTCAATCTCCGTTGAAGTAGGCCTGAATCCCCTCCCCCACCGGAGATCTCTCATGTGCAGCAACAAAACACTAATATAAACACTGAATTAAGTCATCCACTCTGTGCAGTCACACAACTGAAACCACCACAGGTCCACGAGTTGATAGCCAGCCTGGATTATATCTGTTTAACCATTTTTAACAACTATTTTTTCCTCACTTGTAACTACTGCTTCTATCGGCGCTGTCTCTGTTGCCCTCTGACGCACACTCTCTCTCTTGTGCGCATGCTCAAACTCTTAAAGGAGACAGCACGCATAACTGCATCATAGCGAAAACTTAAAGG